CAGACCCGGTGTCCCCACACGGCCCCGCTCTCCCTTCCAGTCTCTGGCAATCCCGTCTCACCGCTCCTGTGGGAGGCCTTTCCCAAGGCCGCCCTCACCTGCTGGCACCTCCAGGGCCCTCCCTGAGCCCGCGGGCCTTCTGCGCAGGCCCTCCTCAGTACCACGCTCCCTGGCTTCCCTGGCTGCACTCCACAGCCTGCCGACGGCTGTCTCCTGCCTGGGCCTCGCTGCCCTCCAGACCAGATTCTCAGAAACCAGCCTCCTTTTCTTCTGTTCCTCAGCACAGCTGCTCAGAGAGGGAATGGGGCTCCATCCCAGCCGCGCTCTCCTTGCCCTCCAGCTTGCCTCAGACCCACGCACTCCTCCGTCCCTGCTGTCTACCCCGCTTGTCTCGTGCCTGGGTGACTGCAGTCACTCCCATCCCCATACCTGCCCACTCCAGCTTCTGCACCCTGCAAAGCCACAGACCTACTGCTTAATTAAAGCCCTCCAGTAACTCCCAGCACTGAAGTCCCCCACGCCGCACTGCCCACACCCCGCTGTGGCCACCTTTGTCACCCGCAGCCTCCGGATCAGGATCAGGATCACTGGGCTCCTCCTTCACACAGCTCGGCCAGAGTACTGGCTGTTCAGCGCCTGGAGAACAGCTCCCTCTAAATCTCCTGGGCTGTTCTATGCTGGTTTCTCAATTTCACTTCCTCAGGAAGGCATGCGCGCAGCAGGTCACGTCCGCCTGGCCTGTCCCTTGGGACACCTTCCCACAGGCCCACGGCCCCAAGAAACCCAAAACCCCATTTGCTTTTTGTTAATTTGCGTTTTCTCCCTCCCTGCATAGTGCCAAAGTACAGCCGACACTCACCACGTGGCCAGGACCAGCTCCGACTCCAGCCCCTCTCTGAGCTGCCCCAAGAGCCCACAGTTCAGGCCGGGGCAGCACAGCTCTCTGGGGACCATGCGGTCTCCTCGCGGGCCTCTTCATACCGCGTCGCTCTCCCTTCTTCCCCAGAGCCGGGCAGTCTAAACGCAGCTCTCACGTTAGCGCCCACTGCCTTTGGGATGAGCGGCAGCCCTCAGAGCAGGGGTGACAGGGTCTCTCCTGGGGTGACCCCGTGCCCCTGCCTGGCTCTCATCTCCTAGTCCTCAGGACACTCTCCTGGCTGCTCACACTCCTGTGCTCTCAGCCTCCTACCACGGCACGAGGAGCATGTCGTGGACCTCCTTCCGGAACATCCTCTCCCAATGGAGGCTCCTCAGCCGGGCTGGCCGCCCATGCCGTCAAGACACCAGATCAGAGGGACCCAAAGGACCCTCTGCCAGGGCAGCCTGAGTTATACTGGCTGATCCGGCCAGTTATCAACTCCTTCCATTCACATGAGCACACTGGTTCCAACCATTCTAAGAACGACCATGGTGGCTGTCCATTTCCTCCCAGCCGGGAAACTCCAGGAGGTCAACCCCGCCTTTCTTCCCCACAGCAGACCCGTCGCATTGCGTGGCCTCGAAGCCTGATGTGTTTGTTCAGCGAGCAAAAGCTCTTACACGCTGCCGGGCACGAGCTGAGCCCGAGTGCCGACCACCTCTCGCTAAAGGGCTATGTATTTCAAAAGTGATTTTAAACATATTTCGAGGTTTCAGATGTGTTGGTTTCTTTTTCCCTTTGTTTTGAAATATTTTTTTAAGTCTAACTCCAAAATACACAGATGTAGATCGATTGGGTCGTCGGGAAAGTCCTGACACATCATTGCAAGGAAAGACACAGAAACATGCGTCATGACTTCTCTGACGACTCAGTAGGTAGAGGGTGCAGGTGTGGGCTCAGAGAACAGATGACAGGCAGATGACAGAGACAGGGACAGACAGGGATGGAGACGGGGGTAGTGAGGGGAGCAGGCTAGGGGCGGGGACCGGGACAGGGCCCGGATTGAGGATGGGGTGGGGGGGGGGGCAGGGGGTGACAATGGGGATGGGTGGGGGGGGGGTGGG